GTGTTGGCGCGGGGCGGAGAGGGGGTCGCCGGGGCAGCGCGGTGATGTGGGTGGCACGGGGCGACGGCAACACGGGGGCGGGGAGGCCGGCGACAGGGGTGGTGCGGGGCGGCGGCGGCTCGGGCTCGGGGAGGAGAAAGGGCACAGTGAGAGTGGTCGGGCGTGGGCGTGTTTGATTTTTAGTTAGGGCACGGTTCTTTGACGTCTGCTAGCAGACGACAAAGAGCCTACCTAACGAACGTCAGTTTAAGCACTTCCTTTGTCGTCTGCTAGCTGACGGCAAAGAAAGTGGCTATTAGGTGGTTCTCACTAGTGTGCCACTCTGTCTCTTTGCCTTCCGCTGGCTGACGGGAAAGCTTCTGTGCCACCCGCTAGCTGACGGCAAAGATCTGGCTGACGGCAAACACACTCTTCGCCGTCAGCTTTTTGTATATTGATGGCAAAGACCTTCTTTGCCATCAGCTAGCTGACGGCAAAAGATCTGGCTAACGGCAAAGATCTTGATTCGAGTAGTGTACCTCTAGAAATAGCAGCACATGAGTATATGACTACATATGCCAATTATGAAGAAATTGAGCTGTTGTGGCATTACCTGTTCGCCACGTTGCCAACGTTGCCTGTGTTCGCCATGACTCGATGGTCACCACGTCGGAAATGACCCTCACCTTGACATCTATCTGCAGCCAATCAACATGGTGGGTAGAGGTTAGTGGCAACAACTGAACTGATGTTCAGATCGTAGCAGCTAGCAGAATGGTCAGTTAGCTTGGTAGAATCGTACAGGTCATGGAGCCAAAAACATATGAAGCAATATAGATAAAATTCAGACTAGCGACCAATCTATCTTCAGTTCCTGGCTTTAGGACTAAAATCACCACATCGTTCTATGAGCTCTTCAACCTAGCCGGGTGAACCTGAATGACAATAAAGTTACCTCAATACTTTGATCCAGATTGAAGAAGGTTGTACAGATCCTCTCTACAGAAACATGTGCTATTGAAGAATATGTCATTGATGATATTGTATTCCTATACACTTCCAATGGTTGTTGCTACTCCTCATACATAAGGAACATGTGGTGCTCAGTGCTATAGGAAGGAAACATTGGTGCAAATGGCATGAATACAGAATCATACAGACAGCTGAGTATGAAAACCACCTTGTTGATCATGGCTCTGCCGAAGACCTGGAGCTGCCAGTTGAGAACACCATGCTCATCTCCCGTGTCCTACGAAGAAGCATAGGTCAGGGAGGCGCAGTACAACACCGAGGGCAGCCATCGGCGATGGGAGGACCCTGGAGCCTGGTGTACTGAGAGCAGTAGCGTCCTTGTCGTTGGTGGCGGCGGCGTCCAGGAAATTGCCACGGCTTCCAGGTCAACTCCTCAATCGGCGATGGGATGCAACGTTCAATTGAGTGGAGTGGGGGCGTGCACTTGTACGCCTACAACACGCCGTGGAAGCCTTGGGTTGCTCGTAGCGCCAGATCTGGGTGCCTGGAGGCATTGAGCCTGTGCGCCGCTGGGGCACCGCCGCACCAGGACGCCGATCGGCAAGAGAGAAGGGGAAGAAGTCGAGCTCCTATGGAGAATAGGGAGGCAGGGATGGGCACGGACGACGAGGACAAGGGACCTCGCCGTCAACCAGGAAGACGGCGGTGGCGGCCAACCATACTTCGTCCAGTAAGACAGCCGCGGGTGACGGGTCGTCGAGACGGCGGCGGGTCGCAGGATGTGGGTGGAGTCGTGGACTCGTGGATGGAGGTTGACTGCGTGCGTGGATGGTGGTTTTCCGATTTGTATTGTCTGTTTTTGTTCTTTTTGATTTTTTGTGCGTGAAATTTTCAATCGTGCGGGAGCGAGGGGTGAGACGAAGGGGAGGAAGCTGGTTGAAACATCACGACGTTCGATTCTCCAGATCACCCGACGGATGCGTAACAATGCTGTAATAATATTTGATTTTCCGTACATAAAAAAGACCGAAATCACTAATTAAGGAGTACTCTTGCGGAGATCACTCCAACTTCCCAGGTTGTGACAAGTGGCGTGCTGTATGTGCGCCACTTGTCGCAACCTGGGAGTTTTCTTTTTTTTCGTAGATCCGTTTATTAAAAACGTTTTTATCTTTTAAACCGTGCGTCCAACTCTCAAACCGCTTTTGCCGTTGGATTTCTCGCATCGAGATCTTCAAAACTAGATTCTATGTTGATAGGTTTTGACGAACTTTTTTTCACGAAAAAACTAAACGAAAAAAACCGACGAAAAAACCGAACCATGAACACTGGTTTTTTCCCTTTCAGAAAGAGGCACGCCCGTGTCTCTGACGAAATCACAACCCCTCTTGCGAAAAAACAGAAAACACATTTTTCCCTTTTCGAAAGAGGAACGCCCGTGCCTCTCGCGAAAGCACAACCGCGCCTCTCGCGAAAGCACAACCGCGCCTCTCGCGAAAGCAAAACCGTGCCTCTCGCGAAAGAAAAAAAACAGAAAATGTATTTTTTTCGTTTCGGAGGAGGCATGGCCGTGACTCTCGCGAAAGCACAACCGTGCCCCTCGCGGAAGCAAAACTGTGCCTTCCGCGAAAGGAAAAAAAAAATAGAAAACACGTTTTTTCCGTTTTCAAGAGGCACGGCCTCTCGCGAAAACAAAACCGTGACTCTCGCGAAAAAAATGTGTTTTTTTCGAAAAAATTATTTTTTTCAAAAAAAAGTTTTGGTCGAAAAGCTAGGGAAGACCGGTGGAAAACCAAAACGTCAAAATAGACCGTTTAAAAAGCCGAAAACACGTGCAAAAAAATAAAAAAATAAAATTCGGAGGGAGCGTCCAGAGCGCGACACGTGACGAATGGCTAAGAGCGCGTCAAATGGCGCTGATCGTTGCGAGTCTTCCAAAGGAGCGCTGGTTAATTAGTTAGCTCCAAAAAAGACCCATTGTGATCGTGCGGCGGAAATGTACGTGCGAACGTTGGGCGCATGTGTTTCAGCCCGTAGTTCTTGTTGGGCCGAAACCCAGCCCAGCCTTCGTGCTTAATACAGCCGCCTAACGGCGTAGATTTCTCACACAAAGCCTCTTGTCCAAGCGCAGCTAGGGTTTTGCTCCGCCGCAACGCACGATCTAGATCCCCACACTTCCCTAACCCTACCCAACCCTACACCTCCCGGCGGCAGCGGCAGCGGCAAGATGAGGCCTATTCTCATGAAGGGGCACGAGCGCCCGCTCACGTTCCTGAAGTACAACCGGGACGGCGACCTGCTGTTCTCATGCGCCAAAGACCACACCCCCACCGTCTGGTACGCCGACAACGGCGACCGCCTCGGCACCTACCGTGGACACAACGGCGCGGTATGGTCCTGCGATGTCTCCCGCCACTCCACGCGTCTCATCACGGGGAGCGCCGACCAGACTGCCAAGCTCTGGGACGTCAAGACGGGGAAGGAGCTCTTCACCTTCAGATTCGACGCCCCCGCGCGCTCCGTGGACTTAGCCATCGGCGACCACCTGGCGGTCATCACCACCGACAGTTTCATGGGGAATATGCCCACCGCGCAGGTCAAGCGCATCGCCGAGGACCTGCAAGACCGTACGGTTTACTCTTCTCCGCCTGGAAGTTTCTAGATGTCTAGTTGTGACGTGAATGTGGATTTTATAGTGTGCGTTTGTGGTTTGCAGAGACGGAGGAGTCAGCGCTTGTGATCTCCGGCATCACGGGGAGGATTAACAGGGCCGTGTGGGGGCCCGGCAACCGGACCATCATCACCGCCGGTGAGGATGCTACCATCCGCATCTGGGACTCTGAGGTTAGCACCCCAAGCTTGCACGTAGTCTTGTTCAGTCATGCTGGCTATTAATTCTGTGGCCTATTAGGGTGTCTGGTGCCATGTACCTGTGGCAATTTGCTCTTGGTAGGAACTTGCAACTAGTGTTGCATGATTGTCGATGTAGTGGTTGTAATGTAAAATGTTACTTGAGCTCAGTGCTTTATATTTCACACGCGACCCGAATTTCCTTGTCATGTGGTCTGATTCTGTGAGTTTCTTATAGCCAACAACTCCTTGAATTGACACAGCAAACAGTTAGTATCTGTAAATCTGGCCATATCTTGTGGCTGCTTAGTACTCTAGTCCACCTTACTAGAGTACTTTCCCTCACTAGAATGCAATTTTCTTTCCGTGGGTCTTTCATTAGAAAGAATGAAGGAACCAATAGGTTATCTCCTGCAAAGTTTACATGCCACTCTCTCGTCATTCAATGTATGTTGTACATGCCCGGTGTTTAATTAAATCAGTATGTACAATGTTGCTTTCCCATTTTGTATGATGTTGTGCATTTATGTTTTATTTTCTCTGGGATTGTAGACCGGAAAGCTGCTGAAGGAGTCAGACAAGGAGGTTGGACATCAGAAGGCAATTAGCTCACTGTCAAAATCCTTAGATTGGTCTCATTTCCTCACAGGTTCCTTGGATAAATCTGCCAAGGTGATACTTTTGGGATTGCTGCCCTGATAACCTGTTCATACTTTATTTTTTAACATATATGGATTTTTCTGACATATCTGCTATGTCGTAGCTATGGGATGCAAGAACACTGACCCTGATAAAGACATATGTCACAGAGCGACCGGTTAATGCTGTTGACATATCTCCTACTCTTGATCATGTATGCTCCTGTATCTGTCACCTTATCTATGCCATTGTTCTTAAGTTGCTGCAAGCATTTGAGTATATAAGCTCTCTCAAAGCACATGGGGTTGTCTCTTGAATTCTTGGTCTTTTTATATGTAAAAATTGTATATTTCATGGGCAATTATGAAGTTTGGATTGACTATAAATTTGGTCCAGAATGTGCTCCTTGCAGTCAGCCTCTGGGTAATTAATGAAGTTGGATAGGATTACCGCGTATGTGCTCTGTCTTGAGTGTCACATATTTTTGTCCTGCCCATCTATTTCCTAACTTTGATTTCTTGCTCTTATTAATCAAGGCCAAGTTTGGCAAAGTGTGTAAACCATGATTCCTTTGCATATTTGTTATCTTAGTTTTTCTGCATCTGTGTTTAATGCTCATCCCATGCATTCATGATTCTGAACTAAATTGGTACATCATAATGGTCTATTTGTTATTTATTCTATGGAAACTCATTTGTATGTGTATTTATATTTTTTGAACATCATACTTCTTGCTATCCTTAGGTGGTTATTGGAGGTGGCCAAGATGCTATGAATGTTACTATGACAGATCGCCGTGCGGGTAAATTTGAGGCCAAATTTTTCCACAAGGTGAGCTAGATTCCTTTGCATATATTTACACAGATGGCTCTTGACTTCCTATGGGAAGTTACTTTCTGTATGTGTATATATTGTCAACTTTGTAACAGGATTTTGTTGTCGATCTCAGATTTTAGAAGAAGAGATTGGTGGTGTTAAAGGACATTTTGGACCTATCAATGCATTAGCATTTAATCCTGATGGGAGGAGGTTAGTTCGTACTCTGTTTGTATTTTGATTTCTTATGTTTGTATTTTGCCTCTGCGCTTGGGTTTGTGATATGCCTCTGTTCCATTTAGATTCATGGCGATATACACTATTCTGAGTCTTTAGGATGTCGTCAAATGTTAAGAAATCAGAGCTTCATTTTGAACATTATATGTGTTACTACTCCCTCCGTCCCAAAATTCTTGTCTTAGATTTGTCTAAATACGGATGTATCTAGTTACGTTTTAGTGTTAGATACATCCGTATCTAGACAAATCTAAGACAAGAATTTTGGGACGGAGGGAGCATTTCATGTTGATCCCTTATATTTACATTGCGCCTCTCGCGTTGGGTTTGCAATATGCCTCTGTTCCCGAGTATGCTAAAATCTGCTCAATGATTAAGCCATGTAGATTCATGGCGATATGTCTTTAGGATTTCATCACATGTTATGAGAGCAGATCTTGTTATTGTTTTCTATTCATGTTTATTTATCTTCAATGAGAGAAGATCATGGTGAAGTAATCCTCAATCACCATTTTATTGTCTTCCATCCTAAGTCTTAAGTCATCCTCTGTATCGTAAATTCTACATGGGGATTGACTTTTGGCTTTTCACACATTGCTTGTCTTTGCTATCTGTTTGTGACATATTTTGTTTCCTTTGTTCCTGTGCCCTGCCTTCCTAATTTTTTCTGTTATGTTTTTTCCTCAACATGTAGCTCAGTGATTAGAGCCAATTACATTGGCAATATACGCTATACTGATCATATTTTGATGAAAAGTTTATATGAGAGCTACATGAAGTAATCCTATATCACATTATACTTGTCATTTCCATCTGTTTGAGCACATGTTGTCTCCTTTGTATTTTGGTGCCTTATCTTCACACCTTTTATCTTGTTGAATCACTCTCTTTTGTCATGTTTAGTAATAATGTTGCTCAGTGACTATGGCAAATTACATTGGCAATATGCGCTACGCTGGCCTTGTTTTGATGAAAAGTTGGACATGAGAGCTATGTGGTCCCCAGAATTTATTTTGGCAGATCTAACCTGCAATTTCTTGATCATGCTTTCTTGTGCATTCTGTTCTATTCTACCAGCTGGTTTGGCATCTCAGTATTCGAGTCCAATACTTCGGTCATATATGCTATTCTGAATATGTTGTAAAATAAACTTCTGAGAGCTGCCAATCCTTTTTTTTGATACTTCTATTATATTTCTTTTGTGATCGCTCATATATGTTGCTTTTGAGAAATAGGGTTTTTCAGCTCTTCTTTGAGCTTCAGTTCTTGTTATCTCATCTCTTTTGAATTCCAGAATTCCAGTTTTATTGACCAGTATTTTTCCATATAATGTTCTTAGCTTTTCGAGTGGTGGTGAGGATGGATATGTGAGGCTACACCATTTTGATCCTGAGTATTTCAACATCAAGATGTAAGCCTGTGAATTTCTCAAGGTAAGGCTCATTCCTTGGTAGACAAATGTGAATAACTGCAACTTAATACATTGTTCATTCATTGTGCTTTTTCTTGAGCAATCTCAGCATATCGGCTTCTATGTTGTTTTGAAATGGCTTGTGCTTCAGGCTTATGCTTACATGTTCATTTCCTATCTTGTTTCAGGCTGCAGTTGAGAGACCTCCCTAGTACCCTGGAGAGAACATAGTTTTTTTCCGGCTCAATTTGTGAGAGAACTTGACTTAGCTGGATGGTCTACTATGTGATAGCACACCTTTTCTTACAATCAGCAATGGAGATGCTTAAATGGGTGACATCGTGTTGCCTTCCCTGTCAGTGTTGTTTATCCAAAACATTCTACTTTTGATTCGATGTCCATTCTGCTTAACATAGTACTCCCTCCGTCCGGAAATACTTGTCGAAGAAATTGATAAAAATGGAAGTATGTAGAACTAAAATATGTCTAGATACATCCATTTCTTTGACAAGTATTTTGGGACGGAGGGAGTACATGGATGCGCAGCTAGCGGCGTGTTTGGTTACCTGCATCATTTTTTGCCCATTTGCATACTTGTCCCAGTTGGGCTTACTTGTTCTAGTTGGGCCTGATTGAGCATATGCAGCAAAAACTAACATCTGCATGTTGATTGGTTGCTTGCATGTCCTCTCCCTACATCGTAGCGACGCCTCTATGCATCGTGTTTGGTTGCTCGCATTGCATGTGCTCATACGAGTGCACGTTGTTTGGTTACATACGAGCAGAGTTGTGTTCACCTTGTACCCTACTTGATGAGCTTACCAATACTACTACACCTTACATATGATCACACCAACTCTACAATACTGCTGCGATTTACTGGACGAAGATGATGAAATTCTTCAACTCTAATATGGTCAATACACCTTGCCAACCGCAACTTTTGCTGCACGAATGCTCAAACCCTCTTTCGTGGTTGCTGTCGCTGTTATACCACTTACCACCACATCTAAAAGAGAATGTAATCCTACCATCGCAAGGATCATCATGAGGGTTAGTATATACCACATCACCAAAATATACAGACCATAAGATTGTTTTTAATCCCTAACTACATGAAATATTGTTTTTAATCCCTAACTACATAAAATAATGTTTTTAATCCCTAACTACATGAAATATACGTCGTCATCGCCCAACACCCTGTGCTTTGTTGTCCATGTTAAGAATAATTAACCCATCATTAATTATGGGATAATCCCCACTCTTCCCGCACAGGCAGTTCCAACCGATGGAGCGATTTTCTCCCTGGAGCGTTGCAACCTTTGGAGCCAACCTTTCAGGAATAGTCGCCTCCTTTGGATACGCCTGTTGAGATTGTATATAAACTCATATCATCTATCAATAAAGTGGGACTTGATTCTGAGCGAGAAGAAGTAGACGAGGAAGAACAGGCAAGGAACAGGCAAGAGGTGAGAAATACAATGCCTGCGCTTCTTTCTCTCTTCCTGCTACTCCTTCGTGACTAAGGCTGCCGCCGCCGTTTCATCGCGCGCCACCGCCGCTTCCGGCGTCAACTGCGAGACCTTCGCCGTTTCCGGCGTGGAGGTTGGAACCAGCGTCGCCTCAACCGTGCAAACGCCCGTCAGTCGTTTCAACGGACGTCGCTTACGGTGATGGAGGCTACCGCCGCCACGGTGAAGGAGGGCATCGCACCTCTCGTCGTCACCACCAGAACACTACGACGGCGCCGCCGGTTCAGGCCTTTGTGCCGGCCGCGCAGCAGTCTGTCGCGCCGCTGCCGGTGCAGGCACTTGGGCCGGCCGTGCAGCCTATGGAACCGGCGGTTCCTGCCTGGCTCCTGAATGGTCGTACGGCGCCAATGCTTGAGGACGCCGACCAGGCACTCGAGGCCTCGTGGCCGCCGGGATGCTGCCAGTACCACGGTTGGGGCCCGTGTCCCCGTCGTGCGCCTGCGGCTGCCGACACCGCGCCTCTGCTGCTTCCAACGGAGACAAGCGCCCCGGATGCACCCCGCGTGCAGGTTCGCGAGGGCGACGCACTCGCCTTCGTGTCCGCACCGACCGGAGCCACCGTCTTCAACTTCGGCTCTGGCGAGAACGGCTCCTCCAACCACACGCGGTTGTCGATGTCGACGCCGTCGCGCCGTACCTGCCGAACCCGACGCCGGCCACTCCTCCGCCCTCGCCTCGCACGGGCGCTCGCCGTCGGCTCATGGCTCTCGGCGTCCCGCTGGCAAGCCCACCGTCGAGCGGCCACTCCGGCCGCCCCGGCACATGGAGCCCTGCTGCGCTTGGCCTTCTTGGACTTGCGAACGGCACCCACAGCCCCGGCGACTCTCCCTCTGAGGATGAGCATGGCGGGAGTTCTTCTCGCCGCCGGTGATGCGGCCGGCCGGTCGGCTGTGCCCGTGTGCTCTCCACCTGTATGGTTGGTGGTCGTCCGGTCGTCTCCTTATCCCTTCGCCAGGCTGGGAAGCAATAAGTGGCATGTGCCTGTGTAGGCGTGTGGCAGGGGGGCAATCAGGAACGCTGCTACACAGACGACAAACGGCGGACGATTTGCAGACGATGTAGCACATCAAGCCGCTCATGTGTAAAGCAAAACTAAACAACACCGTTCGATCCAACATCGTCCAGTGTTCGGCCGGAGTACTGTCGTCTGTATAGTAGTTTCGGGCAATCAGGCTCCAGCAGGACATGTGCATGCGATAGAAACAATGCTCACTAGTACTGGTAGTACTAGTTTGGTTTATCGGCCACATATGTGATAACAGTTGTTCTAGCAGATTTAGTCTGTTTTAGACCTGTTAATTCAGTACATCTATTTTAGTATTGATTTCTGTTGAGTACGGATGTATTTCAGATCCTAAGTTGATGTAATAGATTTTCACGTTTATCACGTGTTGAGATTAATTACATTTATTTGCAATTGAGATTTCCCATCTCTTGCAAAAGATAAATTCAGTACCTTTACAGTATTGATTTGCGATTGAGAATTTTCTTCTCTCGCAAAACAATTTTATTGCGATTGAGATTAATTTTTTCTCGCAAAATATTAATTCACTCTGCTGAATTATCTTGCAACTTGATACAAGAACATCTCATTAAATTTGAGGTGTATATAATTCAAGTTTTTTCACTTGAACATCAAGTTTGCAACATCATTACTATTCATTTATAATAGTGGTGTATTTCTGTTGAGTACGATGTATTCCAGGATGTATGTATCTCCATGTTCGCTACATGTCGAGATTAATACGTCTATTTGCAATTGAGATTTTCAATTTCTTGCAAATACATATGCAAAATTCTTAGTGATTTCTTCAAATTGATGTATTGGGATTCCGAGGTAGTGTGTAGATCTACTGCTTGCAGATTATCACCACTACTGTTTAAGCCTACATTTTGTCAAATTTGACATTATGATTGCACAACATTGTGCACTCCCATGCATTTTACTAAGTCATGACATAAGGCATTAGGAGTGAGTATCTACTGATTTCATCAGATTATACTCCCTAGTGCTGCGAGATCTACTTCATTTTGGAGATTATCTTCAAGGTGTCATGCTTAGCAATTTGAGATTCACATTAATGGTTTCAAGATAACTTCTTGAAATATCCATTAATTTTACAACATTACCATGATGGTCTTCAATTTACTAATCGTAAATTAACTATCTCTGGTAACCGATGGCTAGAGAATTTGAGGCATTCGCCCTCAATCGCCACCACTACCCTATCTGGGCATGGACATCATGATCACTCTTGTGTCTTGTGAAATAGTGTGTGCAATCCAAGACCACATGATTAACCTCTGGTCGGAATCACACCGCTAACAGAAAAATAGTGTCTTATACATCATAAGGCATTATATCAATTCAGATCTCTGCATCTGGTTATTCTGTATCAGCAATTCCTAGGACACAACAGACCTCAAGGGCAAAGGTTTGGAGCTCATTTAAACCTTCAACCCGACATCACCAACAGTGACGGGACCCTATAGGCACGGAGAATATGATGGTTGAATATGACTCAACTAACATGTTTGAAGACTTCGTCTAGTCTCTCAGTCTCCTGAGTGGTCAACATAATTTATGTCCATTTATGATGTTCTAATAAGAACATAAGTATTGTTGTCATCATATATTGTATATCACAATATATTGTATCAGCACTTTGGTACAAATACATTTGTATGTATTCTATATATCTAACAGTGATTTTCATATTGAGAATCTTCATGTCTATATATAGATTTCTACGGGACTCAATCCGATGAAAAATGATATGTGCCTTGTGGACATATGCACCACAAACTCTATACTCAGGGAAGTCCAATGTTTCCACTCTCATTCAGAGAAAGGAGATATTTTAAAATCGCTAGACGCGATGAGGTATTTGTTGGCTCAACTAGAGTCATATTTACTATCCCTGTGGGTACCCGAGTAACATCGGGATGCTTTATTGCTTCCCAGGTTTAACTCGTACCCTACTAAACTATAGAGGTATCCGTCAAAATAGTTTCCATAGCGAAATTTATGATGACAACAAAGAGAAATATCTTCTCTTTACCATATGCAACGGATATGGCAATCACATTCTCTATGTATCATCGGCATTGCACTACACATACTACAAAACCCGTAGCACATGTTGTGTACGAGATAGTTTTCCAGAGTGTCTTTTGCATGACAAACTTGGAATTCATGCTTTGGTCATCATTGACATTGGGTTGAAACCGAAACTATCAGCAATTCCAATAGTTTATGATTATTATGATTCTAAATTCTAACAACATTTGGATTTTATGTGCACTAAAAGTGACATAGGGAAGCTAATTTTAAGGTTCACACACCTTAAAGTCTACGTTGAACCACTTAGACTCCTTGAATGTATCAAGTTGAGGTAAGTGGCTCTTCCCATCCATTGACTAGACTATTCAGGTATTCCATGGTTCTAAAAGACATATCTACATGATGGTCTTAAGTGTGTGCTTTATTCACACGAAAACATTGGCTCATTATCCTGACATCGATTTCAAGCAAATCGAATGGATAACATTGTAGAATTCCCCTTGAGTGCCTTCTCTATGGCCCTTGGATTGAAGTTTAGCAATTTGTCCTAATGTCTAGACTCAAAATGGTTTGGTAGAATCCTATCCAAAGAGTTAAGCTCATTGCATTATCT